CCGGCCGCGTGCCGGGCGCCCCCCCTCCCCCCCCGGGCCCCCTGACCTGGCTGCAGCACCCTGATCTCCAGCAGGTTGGAGGTCCGCTCCGCCAGCCGCGTCCAGGAGTTGTTGTAGTTCTTCCGCCACAGCTCAGCCACGCACTGGTACTTGCCCGCCTCTGTGTCGCTGGCCCGGCTGATGCTCAGGCGCACGTTGTTGCTGGACTCGGCCTTCTCGATGGCCGTTCGGGTCCGGAAGCTGGAGGACCTGTCCCCCCACTGGACCCCCCCGTCCCGGGTGAAGGTCACCAGGTCGTGAAACTCGATGGTGCCAACTGGCTGGAACCGCCAGGTCACGGACACGGGGACCCGGGCCGGGTAATGGGGTTTGATGATGCACTGCAGGTCAAAGGAGTCGCTGTAGGTCACACCTGGCGTGCGCGAGATGGCTGTGACCGCGAAGCCCATTTCTGGAGAGAGAGCAGAGAGACTCCAGCTAGGGGAGACACGAGGATTTCTCAGGGCGGTGCGCAGCAGGGGTGGGGCTGTGGGCCAAGCTAGCGGCACAGAACCGAGGCTCCGGCTCTCTCCTGATGCCCAGGCCAGATCACTTTAGCTTGCATTTAGCACGAGCCCATAAGACCCCATACACAGAGGCCAGAGGAAAGCTCCTCAAGCAGCACTTAGCAAACCCTTCCTGATGAAACCTTCATGTCGATCTGCCTCCCATCAGCCCTTGCCAGGATTGAGGATACGTAGGCAGAGCCATTCCTACAGATTTGGGGATCCCATGCTGAAACAGGAGAAAGCCCTCAAGCCAACGTCATTCACTGCCTGCAAGGTGGACACTTCCCCACCCCCACCCCCCCGACGCCTCCTCTGCTTGGCCCGCAAGGCACTGGAGCTAGACAAGGAGGAGGCAGAGGATGTGTCCCTGTTCCCCAGGCCAAGCAGTACAGGCTTGCTCACCAGTTCCTTTTCCACTTTCTTTGTGAAATGCAGGGAAGATGGGCAGTGAGGGACCCACAGCGGGTGGGCTGACCTTGAGCAGGTGGGGAACTGAGTGAGGTGAGCTTCTGCAGTTACAGCAGGCTGCCCCCTACTGACGGCAGCAGGCTGATCCCGGATACCGACTCCTCAGTGGGCGCTATGCGAGTTCCTTCACCTTGAAACACTACTTAATATTAACACACTGGTTATGATCATAAGACTGCAAACAGCCAGTGTTTACTGAGTGCGGTGTGCCAGGCGTGGGGCCAACTGCTGTGTTTCCACCACACGTCACTGTGTCCTCAAAATGACCTTGTAGGACAAGAAGGCATCTCATCCATTTCTTACAGACAAGGAAGAGGCACAGAGAGGTTAAATAAACTGCCCGCGATCAAGCAGCCAGGAAATGGCAGAGTCAGGGGTCTTATCTGGCGGTTTTACCCATGGGAAGTGGTTAAAGGCACAGACCCTAGAGCCAGAGGCCCGACTTTGATCTTTCTAAGCTGTGTGACAGCAAGTTACTTCACTTCTCTCTGCCTTGATTTCCCCATCTGTAAAACGGGTCCTCGTGAAGATTAAGTGAGTTAATATTTGCAACGTATTTGGAAGACTGAATTAATATTTGCAACATACTAGGAATGGCATAGTACCTGGCACACGCTATATTTCACTAAATATGTAAAGGGACAAAGTAGACACAAAGAAAAGTACTTTCAATTCTGTAGGGAAAAGACTACGCACAGAATGAATCTTTTGGCTTCAGGTGAGGAGGTTAAGTCAGCAAATAAGTGGAAATAATTTGCTGAAAACTCCCGATCTTCAATTTGGATTTCATAAGCTTCTTTATGTCTCCTTAAAAAAAAAAAATTTAAGACCCAGAAACCCATCCTTAAACATTAAGTAGTTGTGATAGTCACTTGTGCCCCTGTGTGCGGAATATGTTGCCATGAGAGTGGCAGGACACAGGACCTTAGGGATAGGACATTCCCAGTGTTCCTGGCCCCAGCATCCAAAGATGTCATCCCAAGAAGAGAGAGCTTCTCCAAGCAAATGACTCTGTCCAGGGCTGACAGAGCACATGCCATGATCGTGGTGCACAGTGCACTGAATTTACTTTAACTGAACGCTCATAATGGCCCACGTGTGGCTGGAGGATGTTCCTATCTGCTGTCTCAGCTGGGTACCTGAGAGTGAACCATACCTGACACCGTCAATATGAAAACACGTGTGTGTCACTATTTAGACTGAAAGGCAACCTGACCCCACAGTGCCCCCCACTCTTCCCTGCCACAACTGCTTGGGTCTCCCTGATTACGGCTTTGGCCAGAGGCACCCCAGGGGTAGAGAACAGGTAAGCAGAACCAAGCCCGGGATCCCAGGTCAGAGCCCGTGGTGACCCTGACTATGGAAACCACAGACATATGATGAGTATGACAGACGTCAGGGGGATAACCTAAGAGAAGCTATCCTGACCGCTCCTTGGACATTCCTAACCTCGCAGGGTGGGGAAAAGGGCTGTTACTGGACATCCGGACATTTCCACAGGTCCACACTGGTGCTGAGCACTGGCCCGGGGACTGAGCTCATCGGCAAACTCAGCCACTGGACAAAGTTTCCAAAGCGAGAAAGCTGAGCAATGCAATTACTACATGAAGCAGGCCAATCTTTGGGATTAAGCTTTTAGAACAAGAAGTGTAATTCTAATCTTGGGTGAGAATACAGTACTCTGTTGAGGGCAAAACCAGCGGGGGCTGCCATCTTTCCTGGGGTGTCAGCTCTAGCTAGGAAGTTGATGGGCAACATGGTCCCAGGGAGTGGGATACACGGTCACCGAGGACAAGTGATGTCACAGCTGTCCTGATAAACAGGAAGACCGAACATGATAACAAGTAGCAGACTGGCCTCTTAAAATTTAATCTACTGATTATATTAGGCGGATAAATGTTGATAGAAGCCGCTTTAACTACCCCGTGAGAAGCAAATCTAATTCTCTGGTTTTAGCAAATCTCAAGGTATCTTTGAATTTCATGCTAATGCGCAAGTGGCTAAGGATGGTGCCTTATAGAGGAAGAGATAAAAGCACAGACTTTTGGGGGGGGGGGGGGGAAATGAAGAGAGATCCCCAGCTTCCCAGGTTCAGACTGTGAGTCTGTCGCTTAAAAGCTGTAGCCGTGAGCAAATTAGTTAACCTGTCTCCCTCAGTCCCCTTGTAAAATCAAAGGGTTGAGCTCTTGGTTAGGTGAGAATTCAAAGGGACAAGTGCTTAGACTCCACCAGGAACATAGTAAATGCTAAGTAAATGGCAGAAAGGGGTCTCCTACCCTCCTCTGCCTTGCTCTGGCCTTTTGAGGAGGGCTGGGCCCCTGGGCTGCAGGGCAGGAGAGCCTGGGGGACAGGCGAGGGAGGTTCTGCTCTGCTCTGCTGGTCTTGGCAGGGACCATGGTCCCCCCACCTGGGGCCACCACTCTTACTGGGTGGCTTCGCTCCCCTGGCCAGAACTTCGAACTTCACTCCTACCATGCAGACCCAGGAACAGTGACTGCCCCCAGCCGTCACCAGGCCCCCAGGGGCCCCACTGTGCACCACTGGCCCCGTCAACCCTACCTGCACTTTCGTACACGGTCCCTTCAATTAAACCCTCTGGAAGGGGCCATCTGTTTCCTGCCAGGACTCTGATAAAAGTCAGGGTAAGGGACCTGATGTGGGAGCAATCTCCCAGCGATCCCACAGAAAGGACCGCCGAGTGCTTCCTTACCGAGAGCCGTGATGGAGATGGGGGTGCTGGCCCGGCGCTCCCCCACGATCTGCCACTCGCCGTCCACTGCCCGCACCCATTCGGTCACGTGGCACTCGTACTGGCCCTCGTCCTCCTTCCTGCTGTTGAAGATGCCCAGGCTGAACGAGTTGGGCTGCACCTGCTCCATCTGGATGCCCCCGAAGCTGCTGCGCTCCCAGTAGGATGCGCCTGGCTGCACGGTGCCGTCCCGGTCCAGCCACATGATGTTGCTGCGGCGGTTCTGCCGGTCCACGAGCTGCCAGATGACCGAGAAGCGGCCCTGCGGCCTGCCCGCCGTGCGGACGCTGCAGGAGAAGTGCAGGTGCTCACCCTCAAGGATGACGCTGGCGTTGCTGGCCACCTCCACGGAGATGCTGCTCTCTGGGAAGAGGGAGAGAGTGCCACGCTGGGGCTTTCCGGCCTCTACTACCCCCTCCCCCACAGACAGGGCAGGAGGCTGGGTGCGGGTGTCACGCTACGCACTTCACCTGGCAGGAGGAACGCCCTCTGACACTTGCTGCGGCAAGCCCTGGCTGCTTCTGGGCACTGCTCCCCATGACTTTAGATCCATCACCTAGGAGGCCCTTTGCTGGGGACCAAGATGCCGTGTGGGATACTGAGGGTCTAAGACCTGAGACTGAACCGGAACCTAAGAAATACAGCACGGTGACGTTCCGACGTTCTATCGGTAATCTGTTCAGCTGGGGCTCAAGGGTTTTTCAACTCGGAATTTCAGGAAGTGGAACAACTCGGAAATTTCTACATCACCTCCATCTTCCCGCCGTTCGGTGCTACGGCAGTCAAATAAGAGCAGAACATCTATCATGGGCCATTTGAGCCCCTCCGGGCAATATCAGCAAGCAGAACAAAAGTGACGGGAGGTACCAGGAAGATAACGTGTGCTTGCTTGGGTGTGGGGGAGACTGGGACAGATGTCTGCTTTCATAGTGCGTGTGGCAGTGAGCCCTCATACTTGTTCCACGAACGCAGAGGAACCGACCAAGGCCCCTGGCTCTCTACCCTGCCGTCCACATTCAGCCCTGGTTCCGCTGCTCTGACCCTAACACATCCTGCCAATCAGAGTTGGGGATAAGGACCCCACTCTCTTTGCTCCTTTGCTATTCACTTAGCTCTAAGGTCACTCAGTCGAACTAATTACACTTTATACGCCTCCTTCTGCAGCACAGGGATGGTGTGGTTCCTACCGTGCACTTGTTTTAAAGATTGAAAAGTTAACAAGACAATGTATGTCAACCACCTGACACACAGCAGGTTTTCAAAAACTGGTCACTGGTGATCACGTTAACTTTCCTATTCCGAACAACTTTTGTTTTCATAAACACCACGGACATTCTAATCTGCCTTCACTACACATATGCTATTTTGTATGACTATCTACATCGAGTTAAAAGAAAAAAAACAAGTGTTAAAGAATACAAAGCACCATAACTAATTTGGCTTCAATTTTCCGGGTACCACTGACATGAAACACAATTTAAAATTAATCAATTAAGTTAAATTCCCCGATTCAGAGGCATACCTGATTATCGAGAGGGATCACACATACATACCCATAACCATGCATTTGAATCAATCTTTGCTCCCCCATATTTTCCCCCACAGGCAGAAACAGACAGAGATGAGCCCCAAGCCCCAGCAGGTAGTTTCTGTTATGGTGAGGATGCCTGCTACCCATTGCGGGTTGGCTTATTTCGTGTGAAAAATAGGTCTGGGCAGGGTTCAGGTTCCCCGGGAGGGCAACCTCCCCAGGAGCCATACCAGGATGACTTATGGAGATGACCAGGCTTCTGTGGCTCAAAGCATGGAGTTGGAGGCAGGCAGACCAGGGCTTGAAGCCGGGTTTACTGCTTCCTAGCTCTGGAATCTTGGGGTTCTTCCTTAACCTACCCCCACTTCCTTTTCTCACGTGCAAAACGGAGACACTAAGAGTTCCTACTTCTTGGGGCCACAGCACCGACAATACCAGAGGAGGTAATTTACTTGTCATCATCAGTAATCATACTTCCTCTGTAGGTTAAGGACTCCTCCCCAGCATTATCATTCCATGTGGGGCATCAAAAGGACAACTCCGGTGTCAGGGGCGGGAAACCCCTTTGCTGGCCTCCAGCAGAAATATGACTTGCAGGGTGTCACCGCCATTCCCTACTGCCCCCCCGGTGGACTCTTCCGTGAGCCCTGGCTTACGAGCGATGAGGGCTGCTGTTTGGTGCTCTGTGGCTCCAGCAAAAGCCCAGAAGAATCGCACGGTTACAGGTGGTCCTATGAGAAGAAAAACCGTGCGGGCATCCCAGGCAGAGGCAAACACAGGTGCGGTGCGGGCGCTGCCCCTTAGGATGCGGGATGGGCGTTCCCAGGCCTGAGAAAAGGCGAGCTGACCAGTTAAAACTCTCTGGATGAAGCGAAAACTAGGACAGAACTAATGAGACTCTGACTGCATGTTCGCCAAATGAAATTTCAAATCAGGAGCCGGATGATGTAGCACAGGCTTAAGCGCAGAGCGGTGGGTCTGGAGTTAGAAGCAAGTATTTCTAACGCAACACACGCTCAACCACGAACGGAACCGGCCCAGCCGCGTCTCTGCACGGTGCTCTGGCTTCTTCGCTCACGGGATGGAGAGAACACTGGCCTCTACGGGGATTTGAGGAGTGGGAGCGGGGAAGGAAGTGATATATGCAGAAGCACTCTGGGCTCTTGAGAGGAAAAGCGCCATTAAAATCCAAGGCATTATCACCATTACCGACGTGACCGTTGTTCTTTGGTAGACTTACCCAAGTGGCCTTGGGGCAGGATCTGGTGGTGCTGAGGGACTTTAACTACCCAGTTATCTGCTGGAAAAGCAATATAGCAGGCCACAGATCATCAAACAAGTTCTTGGAAGGGGTCGGGGGAAATCTCTTAGCACAAAAGATACAGGAAGTAAACAGCGTGGCTGCCCTTCACTGGATCCTTAACAATGAGGAATTAGTTGCAGATTTAAAAATAGAGAGTCCGTGGTTAAGGCAAGCACAAACCGACAGGAAAACAGTCAGGAGAATGGGCATTCAGTTCAACAATTTCAACTCTACAAATATTCAGCAAGCACCGACCCTATGCAAAGCACCATGCTAGGCATTGCAAAGAAAAAAAAAAAAAGTCTAGGAAACAAAACAATGTCAAGATAATTAGGTGTGTGAGAGAGATTTAAAAAAGAAACAAAAACAGAAGTACGAAAGAAAGGAACCGTGTTGGTGAGAAAAGAAAGAAGTAGGCAAGACCCCGTGTCTACTCTTTCCTTCTCGCTTGAAGAGAACTACGTCAAAAACGTACAGGTGTAAATAAATATGTAAAGGGAATCATCACAAGGCTAGGGGAGAGAACAGTTTGAGTAGTTGAGAAAAGGTTAAAGGTTAGTTTTAAAACTTCCCTGTCTTGTTTAAAATCATGGCATTAAATGTTTAATTCTCTTTTTACTAAAAACAGAACTAGGAGAGAATTGAGATGTTAATGAAAACATCCTGATACTATGGATGATTAAACACAACAGGAGCAAACACGGGTCGTGCCCGAGTCCCCAGCCACAACCATCACCCACCCAGACCCAGATGAGCCCAGCTTACATGGAGGTGGGGGCCCACCAAGCATCCTTGGAAACTGGCTAAGCTTTAAAAGGAAGGCTATGCTCAGGAAGACGTAAGAGGTCCCACCCACTGACTTTTGAAAACACAATTTCAATAGGGAAGAGACATTTAGGGAAATGCCAACCCTTATACCCCCCAAACCCAGACAGCAAATCCTTTTTAATAATGTGCTCTCAGATTTAAAATCCTCCCACAAAAGACCAACCCTCATAAGTGAGATTTCAAGGTAGGCCTCTACCCACTCCATCTGGGACTTAATTCCCACATGGGAGCCAACAGGCGTCCTGGATTCCTGATTTTCCTCCAAGCTGAGCTGGCAGTGCTGGTGTTGACAGAGGGCAGCCAGTGCTCAGATCTGGGATGCCCCCTCCAGCCTGCAGACATACCCCTGCGCTCTGCCTAACTGGGGGTTGCTAAGTGTGGGCAGGCGAGTGGAGAAGGGAGACAGGTGAACTGGTTTTGCCTGCCAGAGCTGACTTGAACCCTTGAGTTCCAAAAGCCCCGCCCTCCCCTCCCTCCCCCTCCCCCGCAGCTCATGGGTCCCCTGACTCCTCTTAAATGATGCCAGCTACAGACCAGACCACGGGGAGCAGAAGGAGACAGCACATCTTCTCTACTTACTGATGGGGAGGACGATGATGGGGATGTTCTTGGGCCGCTTGCTCTCCTTGTCGATGAATTCCCCGGTGACCGTTTTCTCTCTCTCTGTCACACGACAGTTGTATTTCCCGCTGTCATCCTGGCGGAGGTGATAGATCTTCAGCACAAAGACACTGTCGCTCTCTTTGGCCACTTTCAGCTGGCCCCTGGCTTCCCGATGGGCAAATTCACTGTTGAGGACCGGCACTGCATTGGGCCCCATGCTGGCAATGAGCGAGCTGTTGAAGGCCCAGGAGACGGCAAAGTAACGGTCGGGAACGTTCTGAGCCTCCAGGATGCATCTGAACTCCACTGGTTCACCCACCGTGTACAGCCGCTTCTCCGTTTCCAGCCGCACGGTGAACTCTTTGTCTAAGAAAACGAATTAACAAAACGATGGATGCCTTCTGGGTGAATGAGGGCCCCCGGCTAACCCAAGTGCACCAGCAAATTCCCACCCCCCCATGCCCTCTTTACAGTGCCAACCACAGCACTCCCCCTTGTCTTCAGAGAAAAACCCAGAGTCTTCAGAGAAATTCCTGAGGGTCGCAGACAGAACTCAAAGGCAGCTAGACCCAGACAGTCTAAGGGGCTTGTTACCTCAGTTAAGACGTGTGGGGCTCCGTCTGCAGCCTATGACGCAGAGGTCAACAAGGTCTATCATCCTTGACATCGCTTACCCAGGCCTACCCTTGATCTATATACTCCCAGAACCCCATGTAAGCAGCAGGATTGCAAACATTTTCTGCAGATGTTGTAGGACTCACCCCCACTGACACGTGAGACAAAATTACACAGTGCTGACCCCAATCCTCATAAATGCTCAAAAAAATACATACACTGAAATATGTTCTCCACTGCCACATGGGTACTGGAAATCAGACACAGGTAAGACAACCCTTCACACAATTCCAAGGGCAAAGGGAAAACCAAAGTCTCTCCATGAGTTACCACCTGTCAGATAAAATCTCAAGAAAGATGGAGAGGGAAAATTTTTACCCACTTCCACCGAAAGCTAATGACCTCTGAAATGGACAATGAATCCAAGCACCCTTCAGAAAGCTGGGTGTCTGATCAGGAATGGGGGGGGGGGTGCTCAAAGAAGGGCTCATCACCACTAACAGCATCCCACGCACAGTGAGACAGTGGGAGGCTCTCACGCCTCCCAGGTTCAGCCTCTAAGCTCTAAGATGCTCTAAGAGCTCTAAGCTCTCAGCCTCTAAGATGACGCATGGATGGTGCTTCGCCTGCTAGCATCTCCCTCTCTAAGAGTCTGCATGCAGGATAGACTCCCTGACTAAAATCGACAGAAACAGAAGAAAAGACAACCAGCGCTGCCACCAATGGGGAAGCAGAGGCTTTTAAGCAGGACATTGCACACTCTCGATACCTCTCCTTCCCCCTCCCTCCCTATCCCCATTCAAGGAATCACCCAGAGCCCTGGCCTCAGAGTTCCCAGGCAATCCCACAGATTGCCTTGCACAGTGATGCTCCCTACTCTGTCTCTAGCACTCTCTTCGTGTCTTCCAGGCACTGCTACCGACCTGACCTTGGCCTTACAGCTCTCTCTTACCTGGTCTGTCCACATCAGACCCAACCTGCTTAATCAACCTCCATCTGGCCTCCATGGCTTTTTGCTTCTAGAACCCAGGTCTAACTGTCATTCCTTCCTTTAAAATCTCTATTTCCCCCCTCTAAGTGTCTGCAGCAGTGATTTTTAAGCATTCCTTGGTGGGGGGCGGGGGTGGTACAGAGGCAAGGGACTTTGTTCCTACAAAACCTTGTGTCGCCCAATATAGACAGCATTTGGTTGAAGCAGGGGAGGGAACGCTGTGGCCCTCACACGCCTTCCTCCAGCACCTCCTGGTGCGCACAGACACATGGACACATACACACCTCCACATGCAACCTCTCAGCCAGCTCTAAGGGCTTCCTAAGATCCCAAGAACAGCTTGCAAACACCTGGTCGGTGGAGTCAAGGCCAAGCTCCAGATCACAATATGTGGGGCTTCTGGCCGCCTTTCCTTCCTCTTCTCCTCACTCATTCCCAGGACACAAGCTCGCCCCACACTGGACTCCTCTCTGCTTGCCAAACACAGCACACAATTTTGAGCCTTTATGCTTGTCCCTCTGACGCCTCTGCAGGCTTCAGATTTGGCTCAACTCACCAAACTTGTTGGCTTTCTTGGATTTGCCTTAATGCTCCCATCCAGGGAAAACTTAATGTTGCGAGACCACTCCCCAGTCACCGTGTCCCTGAGCTCTGGACGCACAATAGCATCGCAGCATTCAATACACTCTACTTAGCCACCGGCCTTCACATCCACACCTTCCCTCAGTGCAGCCTCCAAGAGGCGTTCATCTTTGAAACCCCAGTGCCACACCTTGAATGCAGCAGAGACCTCTTAAATGTTTACTGAAATGAACTAAGAGAAGGACAAAGCTGGGGCTGCAACCATTGAACCCGAAGAGCCCAGAGGCACAGAGTAACACCATCAACTTTTTTTTTTTCCAATCTGGTTTTCCCTTTGCTGGCTTCGTCTGAATACATTTGCTGGGCAAATGCAAAAAGTCCTAATCCCAAATTGGTAAGATTAAAATAAAGATTAACTGATGCAACCTAATTTAAAAGGATTAAGATTCAAAATTTGGTCCAGACTTTTGAAGCCGATCTTAAAACCATCCAGGAAGGGAAAGGATAAATATGAAATCAAGTGGCTTCCACAGATGTCTTAGTACTGGAAGATCCAGAAGCTGCTAAATGCTCTGGGTCCTGCAGAGCAGATAAAACACTCCCTTTCCGGGAGCCAATGCTTCTCATCAAAGCCCATCAGATGTCCAGAGAATCACTCCTGCCCTATCACCCGTGGAGCTATGCTTGACGACACGAGTGGTGGTGGAATCGCCTGGACAGTGTACTGGAAATCCAGCTTCCCAGATCCCAGCCCAGGAGCCTGGTTCAGGAAGGCAGACTGTTGGGCAAGTCGGAAGCACTGCTCTACAGGGACCTATGAATGAGTGGCAGAAGACCAAGGCCACTGACTATATGTAGCAAATGGGAGTGTGACGTTAAGGACAGGTCCCGAAGAGGAGACCCCACCGGCACCACAGCTCACCTGCCGCACCTACACATCTCCAACGCCAGCCCCTCGCCAGAGGTGAGCGGCAACACGAGGAAGGTCCGCGGGCCACTTGCTGTGCCTGATGATGGCACAATCACCACCCTGCAACCAAAGCCGGGGGACTGAAGGCTCATGGAGAGCCCTCCCCCAGCCCCGCAGAGGCAGCCAGTGACAGTGGTCGGCTCTGATCTGGAGCACGGCTAGACTCAGGGGCATGGGGAGCACAGTGTGAGACTGCGGGAGAATAATACGAGCAGGCAGGAAAGGAATCGGCTCATGGTGCTGCCATCTTCTTGCCCCAGCTATAAACATGTCACTTGACCTCCTCTTTCACCAGATTTATGGAAGAATCTGGCACTTGCCAAGCTGGCCTTGCCAACCCCTCCCATGACCTCTCTAGGGAACCCCCACAAAGCAATCTGCCCCTGGCATCTGTCCCACCACTGCCTGACCTCGCAGAACTTCTGAGGGACTCTTAAGGAATAGGCGATTAAGCATTTCGGAAATGGTAAAACACCACCAAAGACATATCATTAATATAAAGAAATAATAACTTAAGCCAAAATTTCTCTAGATCATAATTTCATATCTCTGGTGGAAGGCTCACAATCTCAAATGTCTTTCACAAACGAAACAGGACTGGTCCCCAAAACAGGCAACATCATCAAAGGGGGCAGACCAGTGTGGCTAATGGGGGAACCCAGTCATCAGACACAGTTTATGTGACATCTCCCAGTTTTTAAAATGAATTTGTAATTCAAGGAAATATAAAATTCCAGGTAGGTCCAAGAAACCAGGTCTGTAAGCCGGACTCGGTCCGGGCTGCCCTCTCCAAGACTCACTAGTCGGTCAGATGGTACGTAGGTATCTATACATTCCTAGGACTTTCAGAGGTCACCAGAGAAGGAGTTGGCACACCCTCCCAGCGTCTGACAACCCGCACCGTCAGGCAGAGAATGGGCACGAGAGAGACTGACCAGTGGGCTGGACGTTGACCACGGTTCCCTCGGAACGCTTTCGGGTCATGGCATACCACGAGCCATCCGGATCCTGGATCCACTCGGCAGCCTCACAGTAGAACTCGCCCTGGTCGGAGGGCCGCAGGTGGAAGACGGTGAGGCGGAAGGTGGTGCTCCCCAGCTTGTCCAGCCGTACCTCCCCCAGACTCTGCCTCTGCGCATATTCGCTGCTGGAGTGAAGCACGAAATCTCGGCTCAGGGAAATCACCTCCACGGGCTTCTCGCCCCCTCTCTGCCGGAGCCAGGCCACAGACAGGTGGCTGTGCTGAAACGTCTCCGTGGCCACCTCACAGGTCAGCTCCAGAGGGTCCTGCTCCACTTTGTGCAGAGTCTGCGGTATGGCCGTGGTCTGCAGAGTGTCAGGGATCACTGCAACACAGAAGCATCCCGAGCACACGGTCACAAAGCCGCAGAATCAGTCTCACACTCACGGGGGCCAGCCGCCCATCCCGCCCAGCCTTCGGCAATCACCGTGAGGCCGCAGGTGACCCCAGCTGGCACAGAAACAGAAGGGATTTTCTCTTTGGGTTTGGACTGCAATTTTTTGACACTTACCTGTTCGGTATTTTAATAACTTTTAGATAATAGGCGGGATGTATTTCGTTTCACATACTAAACGAAGTCCCTGAAAATACCATGTGAAACGAATATTCTTTTTAAGCTCAGATGGTTTGCTTTGGTACCGCTTCAGGATACCTTCACTTGGCTTCTGACCCATCTTCCAAAGGAAACAGTTCCTAGAAGTCTACGTCTCTGTGTGCCCGGCTCACCTCCTCCCTGCTCGTCATCCCACCCCCACCTCCCCCTGGCTCACGTCAGCAATGCATTGCTCTAGGAAGGCTAGGTTTCAGAAAATCTTTTTGGTAGAGGAAAGCAAGAGCATCCTTGGTTGTCTGATAGGCTGGATTTTCATATGATTCATGTGTCAAAGTGGTCTGGGCTGGAAGAAGCCATAGTTTGGGCAAGCGAGGACGCTGCCTCGTGGCCACTTGGTCAGAACCGTACTCTGGAGACTAAACACGGCCCCTCTCGGCCTGATGGGGACACCCCAATCACAACCAGTGTGTGTTTCCTCAGCACACCCACCTCGGGCCTGGCTCTCGCAGGCCTCCTGATAGGACGTGGCAGGAACGGCGAGCTTGGCGTGGAGGGCGGGGGGATTTCTGGGTGGACAGTGTGGGGCTGCAATGTTCACCCATGAGGACGGTCAACAATACCAAGGCTGTTCTGTCCTTCTGCCCCAAGTCTTAACTTTCCAGTTTTTATTATCACAGCTATGCCTGGAGATCATGACTCGGGCAGAAAAAGAAGACCAGCCTCGATACTGGTGACCCTTCATGTCAGCAAGCACGGGGGCCCAGTGCCGTCCGCACCTAAATGTGTCCCCTCCCCTACCGCCAGCTCCCGTCTGAGCAAGGACCTACAGCCGTATCCACTTCCTGACTGAGCAGTGCCCCCGGTGTCGCTGAGCCCGTCCAAGGGCCTGCCATCTGCAAGCCCTTTCACTTCTCTTCCAGCTGATGTCCTATGCTCCGTCTTTCTCGTCATTTCTTCGGGCAACCACAGATGTCCTTGCCTTGTATCCCCTATCCCCTTTCACCAGCTACAGGGTCCGTTAGCCTTCTCTGAATTCTTTTTTTTTTTTAATGTTTATTTTTGAGAGAGAGACAGAGAGAGAGCGGGAGAGGGGCAGAGAGAGAGGGACAGAAGATCCCAAGCAGGCTCTGCACTGACAGCAGAGAGCCTGATGCGGGGCTCAAACTCACGAACTGTGAGACCGTGACCTGAGCTGAAGTCGGGACACTTAACCGACTGAGCCACTTAGGCGCCCCTTCCTTCTCTGAATTCTTAACACCTGCACTACAAGTTTTCATAAGTTTTAGCCTCAACCTGCTATGTATTCACAAGCGAACCCACAACCTTTGTTCACTCATGCTAGGTGTTAACCACTCAAATGTGTGGGGAACTTTGGTCTTTTGGGTTTTTTTTCCAAGTGAAATACAGTTGCACTATTAAAGAAGCGACTCGGTGTTATGGACTCCACATTTATTTCCTCCCCTCCCCCCCCAAATCCACATGGTAAATCCCAGTGGGTCCCACACACAGCGGTGTCTGGAGGTGAGGCCTCTGTGGGGGGTGATTAAGTCAGGAAGGTGGAACCCTCATGAATGGGATTAGTGCCCTTGGAAAGGGACCTCAGTGAGCTCTCTCATTCCCTTTCTGCCACGGGAGCAGACAATGAGAAGTCAGAAGTCGGCAACCCAGAAGAGGGCCTCCCCCGCCCAGAACCGACTGTGCCGGCACTTGGATCTTAGACTCGCAGCCTCCAGAACCGTGAGAAGTAAATGCCTGTTGCTGAAGCCACCCAGTCTGCGGTATTTTGTTACAGCGGCCCGAGTGGACCTGCTCGGGTGGGACACCGGCCACGGGAAACATCACCTCCTTACCTACTAGGTTCATCTTGGCACTGTAACTCCCAAAGTACCGCTCATCCGTGTTGGGCGTGTGGCACTCGTACTCCCCGGCATCCCGGGCCTGGAGATCGGTGATGTGCAACAAGGCCGAGTTCCCCTGGACCCTCTCCACGTAGATCTTCCCCCCACGGACACGCTGGGTATAGATGGCATAAGGGAAGGAAGAGTCCACGGTGCTGACGATCTGGACCTCGCGCTCCGGGGCGGACGGCAGGTAAATGGACCACTGGAAATTCTGCTCAGAAGGCCCCTGGTAGCCACTCACGTTGCACCAGATGGTGATGTGGGAGCCCTCCGTGCGGTACAGGGGTCCTTCCTGGACGGCAACATGCCGCTGTGCCAGCACTACACCTGTGGGGGACACACACACAGGCTCGCTTACTCCTCAGACCAAGATGCAGCGCAGGCAGCAATCCCCAAAGGCTTTGTTGTTTGTATGACATGATAATATAAATAGCTTACTGGCCCTTTCGGAGGCGCTCTGTGATTTATAAATATTAATTAAAACACTCGGTGGTAAAGCTCTGTCCCAAATTTGCATATATGGAAATTGGATCACGCAAAGTCGGGGTTCTGTTACTTATTCAACGGCTGACCCCTGGGAGTTTCATTTAGTCCCTCTGTTTGTCATCTGTGTGGCGGTTTTATATCTATTTATTAACGCTGCTTATAAAGTTTTTAATAAAACGAGCAGGAAAAGTTGAATCCCTGGCACACAGTCAGATGAAAACAAATAAAAGCAACCGTCTTGCAATCTGGGCCTGCAGGCAGGGAGGAGTCCCGGTGTCCTTTCTTTGGAGCTGCAGCCTGTGTTTTCGAATGTGGCTACTCCCGGGACACCACGTGGAGAAGTGTGACTTAACCTCCTCTACCCTCCTTGAATGGGGGCAGAGCTGAGCTCCTGCAGGCTGCAGCAGCTTTAAGTCGAGTTAGTGCCCCTGAGTGTGAATGTGCAGGGCTGTAAGCGGATCCCTGCTGCCCAGATGCCCACACGTTGCCAATGGCAGGTGATGGGGGGCTGACAGTGCAGACCCGTAACAAGGAAGCAAGCCTGCCCTTAGTATGGTGGCTCTGATTCCCCACCAGTCCCCCTGCCTTCCACCTGGGATATGCTTCTCTGGGGTCCCCTCTGCCTCCTCCATGTTTTTCTTAACACGGTCTCCCCTTTAGACTCAGGGGTGAGGAAATATGGTGAGTTTCACTTCTCATTCCATGCCAGCCTAGCACTGATCCTGCCTGAGCCACTGAGCAGGTGGGAGGGGGCACATGCCCTTGGGCTTCCTTCCCTGAAGCAGCAGCAGCCGGGCACAGCAGCGAGGCAGGTGAGTTCTAGCCACAGCTCTGCCAGGAATTGGAGCGGGATGTGTCATCTTGGACAAGTTGCTTTTCCTTTCTAGACCTGAATCTCTTCAACCACAGTATTATTTTTTTAATGTTTATTTACTTTTGAGAGAGACGGACAGACAGACAGAGTGTGAATGAGGGAGGGGCAGAGAGAGAGACACACACAGAATCCACGAAGCAGGCTCCAGGCTCTGAGCTGTCAGCACAGAGCCCGATGTGAGCCACTTAGGCACCCCAGACCGTGAGATCCTGACCTGAGCTGATGTCGGACGCTTAACCGACTGAGCCACCCAGGTGCCCCTAAAATGATTTCTAAGAAGGCTTGGGAGTGGACTAGCACATGTGCCAAAGCTGACTTTGTCACTTCCTAGCTGTGACTCTGGATAAGTAACTTAACCTCCCCAAGCTTCAGTTTCCTCATCTGGAAGAAGGGAATAATAATGGGTGCCTCCCAGAGCTATCGAAAAGACTGAGTAAGAGAACATGTGCAAAGCCCCCGATACACAGTCCAGCCCACAAATACTCCTCAGTAAAGAGCCGCTAGCTAACCCTTTCTGGCTGGAACATTCTGTAGCTCTGGATCCGCAGGGTTTGGCCAGGGATCACCCAAGGACATTCCAATGGCCCCTTGACAATGACAGCATCTCTGGGCCACCCACAGCTGCAGCGCACTTCCACTCCGTGAAACCTTCCCTCTCCCCCTCTAGAAAGGAATCGCAGCTGCCCCCAGCGTAAACCTATCTGATGGGGGTCCAGCTGGTGAACAGCCGGTACAGCTCAAGTACTAGCAGGACGCAGCTCTAAGCCCAGTCCGGGGGCGCAGCTTGCAGGGGGAGGGGGGGCAGGGCTTGTGCCTCAAAGCAAGCTGATCTAATCGACAAGATGACAGACTTTAAAACAGACCCTGCAAGGCAAGACCCGTGGCTTATGAACCGTAATTCACAGAGAACCTTTTCCCCCAAACGAAGTCTTGCCCAGAACCTCATCTTGGCTTCAGCACCAGAAAGTGGGAACTGAAAAAATGAAGGGTGGGAACCGAATCAACAGATCATGGTGGTGTGTGAATTTACCCGATCCATTCTGTTTGACAGCATTGATTATGATATCTAAAGTCATTGAGAAGACAGCTCATTAGTTATTTTCAGTCTGTTAAAATGTGGTGTATAACATTTTGACTATGTGTACTCTTTTTATGACAACTTAAAATATCTATATGGTGACATTTAAATCAAATGTTTGCAGTTCTCTAGAAACGCAGAACTCTGAAAACAATGTAACTATAGTCATAACATTTAGGTCTCTTTGCACTTCAGCGTTCTGTTAACCAACAGCCACCGCCACTCGTCGCCGCCCGCTGCAAAGAAGGCTGGATGGGGCGCCTGGGTGGCGCAGTCGGTTAAGCGTCCGACTTCAGCCAGGTCACGATCTCGCGGTCCGTGAGTTCGAGCCCCGCATCAGGCTCTGGGCTGATGGCTCAGAGCCTGGAGCCTGTTTCTGATTCTGTGTCTCCCTCTCTCTCTCTGCTCCTCCCCCGTTCATGCTCTGTCTCTCTGCCCCAAAAATAAATAAACGTTGAAAAAAAAAAATTAAAAAAAAAAAAAAAAGAAGGCTGGAGGCAGGTCGGGAGCCAGCTTCTTCCTTGAAGACGCTACTTCTCAACCTTGCTCTATGGTACTGTCACCAGGGAGCTTTACAAAATAGCAGGGCCTGGACCCCACCTGAGGGAACTGGGCATTCGCATTTCTAAAATGCCCAGTGCATGGCAGGGTCAGGAACTGCTCCTCCCGGGTGTCTCCACATAGTGGCAACCAGGTGTCCAAATGAGAAAACATGTCCTAACGTTCAAGCTCTCTGGCTTTCAGCTCCTTCCTTCTGCAAACACTCCACATCGATTTGGGTCAAGAAAGTTTCACTCTTCCCTAGTGACTGGGTGGACGGGAGGCCCGTCAGATACTGGCTATTGTGAGGCAGTGCTGAGCTTACTCAGCCCCCAGCCCGCATCCAACCCACAGACCTTCCCAAAGTGCTTGGTCCTTGGATAGTACACACCACCCCCTGAAAAGCAAACAGTGTTAAGTGGCATTAAGGAGCCAGGGCAGCGGGGTCAGAACAACTTGTCCAAGCCAGAAGCAGGTTATAAGCAGCACTGCCAAACAAACAAATAAGTAAACGCTGGGTTGTACTTGAGTCACACACATTCAGTTGCACCCATGTTTTCGTTATCTCCTTAATTTCCTTCCTGCCCCCAAAGGGCTTTTGACCCCTGAAAATAATGCCGTTCTTAGGGAATGGACCCTAACATAGAAGTAAAAATTACCTTATTTTCCTCAGTCTTATTCCCTTTGTGCACCACCCCCCCCATAGTTCCTTCTCTAGCACTGCCCCTCAATTTCTGAGACCTCAAAGAGAACCAGGTCCCCTACCTGGGGCTCAGGCATCCCCTAACCTCATGGCCCCTCCCATCTTCCCTCTAAGTCTACAACAGAAGACTCCTCCTGGGCAGGGATCACCTTTTTTTTTTAATTAATTTTTTTTTCCTTTAGACATTCCTATACTTTTTGAATTCCTCTGCAACAAGCAAATATCACTTATGTAATTTAAAACAAAAGAACAAGTATTCACAGTATTATATAGAACTGAACGGTATTATATAGAACTGCACCAAAAGCAGAAAAAGCGTAGAAGCCAAAAACAAAAACAAAGAGCAAGGACAACAAATGCAAAACAGTGACGCATGTGGTATATACTAATCCAACCATATCAGTAATCACTTCGAATGTCGATTGCTGGTCTAAATGTGCCAACCAAAAGACAGGGATTGTTAGGGTGGATCTAAAAACAACCCAACTACATCTTATCTACAAGAAATCCACTCTAGATACACAGATGCGTGTAGATTAAAAGTAAACGGATGGAGGAAAACACACCATGTGAACACTAACCAAAGGAAAGCGGGAGTCGCGACATTAATTTCAGACAGAGCAGATTTCAAAGTACAGAAAGTTATCGCTGCTGATGAAGGACATTACATAGTTCTCCACGAAGACATACCAGTTCTTCACATGGATGCACATAACAACAACATACTAGATGAGGCAAAAACTGAACAGAACTGTAAGGAGAAACAGATGAATTTGCTATCATAGCTGGTGACTTCAGTACACCTCCGTCAGAAATAGACAGACCTAACAAGCCGAGAATCAGTAAAGACATAGCTGAACTCAACACCATCAATCAACTGAATATAATGGACGACTATTGACCGCTTCATCCAACAACAGCAGAATACACATTCTTCTCAAGCTCACATGGAACATTCACCAAAACAGACCACATTCTGGGCCATAAAACACACCTTAACAAATTGAAAAGATTAGAAATCATACACTGTCTGCTAGCAGACCACAATGGTATTAAGCTAGAAATCAATAACAGAAAAATAATTGGAAAATCCCGAACTGTGGATATCAAACAACACACTTCTAGAGAATACCTGGGTCACAGGAGAAATCTCAAGACATATTTAAAAGTACAGTATTTTGAATCAAATGAAGATGAAAGCACAGCTTATCAAAATGTGTGATACTCAGGGAAAACAGTGCTTCAAGGGAAATTTTATAGTATTGAATGCATGTATTAGAAAAGAAGAAAGATCTTAGTTTAATTTTTTTTTTACACATTTATTTATTTTTGAGAGACAGAGTGAGACAGAGTGGGAGCAGGGGAGGGGCAGAGAGAGGAGACACAGAATTCAAAGCTCCAGGCTCCAGGCTCCGAGCAAGCGGTCAGCACAGAGCCCGACGTGGGGTTCAAACCCACGAACCATGAGATCATGACCTGAACCGAAGTCGGATGCTCAACCAACTGAGCCACCCAGGTGCCCCAAAAAGAAGAGAGATCTCAAATCAGTAATGTAAATTTCCTCCTTAGGAAAATAGAAAATGAAAAGCAAATGAAGTCCAAAGTAAGCAGAAGAAATCACAAGAATCAGAGGAGAAATCAATGATATTGAAAACAGGAAATCAATAGAGAAAAATCGACAAAATCAAAAGCTGGTTCTTTGAATAGATCAATAAAATCAATAAGCCCCTAGCCAGACTAAGAAAAAAGAGAAAGGACACCAATTACTAATATCAAAAGTGAAAGAAAAGACATCACTACAGAGTCTGTGAAAATTAAAAGGATAATAAAGGAATCCTATGAATAATTCTGTGCCTACAAATTTGATAACCTAGATGAAATGGATCAATTCCTTGAAAGACACCATCTGTGAAAATTCAAACAAGGAATAGATGATTTCAATACACCTATACTTAAAGAAATTGAATCAATAATTAATAACCTTCCAAAGCAGAAAGCATCAGGCCTAGGTAAATAAAAATAAATGGTAAATTTATTCACTGGTAGATTCTATTGAACATTTAAGGGAAAAAGTATAACAACTCTCTATAATCTCTTTCAGAAAATAGACAGATGGAATACTTCCTAACTCATTCTATGAGGCCAGCACTACCCTAATACTCACTAGACACAGGCATTGTAAGAAAACTACAGGTCAATACCTCTTATGAACACAGATGCAAAAATCCTCCAAAATCCTAGCAAATCAAACTCAATGATTTACAGAAAGAATTATACACCAAGACCATGTGGGACTTATCCCAGATATGCAAGGCTGATTCAATATTTGAAAACCAATTAATGTAATCTAGCACATCAATGGTCTAAAAAGAAAAATCACATGATCGTATCAATAGAAGGAGGAAAAGCATTTGACAAAATCCAAACACCATTCATT